AAAAAAGCATAGGCTAAACCGCAGAGCCAAAAGGCCTGGAGTCCGTGGCCGTGGCCCTGGCCCTGGGGGGAGGGGCACTCTATCTCTGTCTCTCTCTCTCTCTATATATATATATATATATTTATATGTGTATATATACGGCCATATATATATATATATGTATGTTACCCTTCCATGCCTGCATGCATATATGCATACATGCACACAGACAGACGGACAGACAGACAGACAGACAGACAGACAGAAAGACAAACCGACAGACAGACATGAAAACTTGTTGATATTGTATAGAAACACACATACACACAAACAAACACAGCGGACAACGCTGTACATGCTCAAACAAATCTTCAGAACGACCTTGTAATGCCGCATAAACTAAGCCCTAAAAGCCTAAACCCTACACCCTAAACCCTAAACCCTAAACACTGAACCCTAAACCCTAAACCCCAATAACCCCACGCCCGAAACCCTTAACCCTAAACCCTAAGCCCACCCGAAACTCTGAACCGTTGACCCTAAACCCCTAAACTCCTGAACCTACGTCTGAACACACTACATCCCTGAAACCCCCGAGTCCCAAACCCAAAACCCAAACCCTGAACCCTAATCCTTACTAGTTAGAAGTTTAGGGGTTTAGGGTTTAGGATTTTGCGGTATATTTTACTATAATCATTACCATAAGGAACCCCCCACTAGTATTGGTAATTATTGAGGCCCCTGTATTAATTCCTTTAACACTTTAGGGTTACGAACATCCCCTAAACACGTAGCCTGAACCTGAACTTTGAAGTAACCACGGAGAAAAAAGTATGGACGTTTACTTCAACATGGCTCGTTTACAGGGCAGGTCCTAAAAAAGGGCATTCAAGCACAGTACTCCCTAACCCTAAACCCAAATTCCCTAAACCCTAAACCCTAAACCCTAAACCCTAAACCCTAAACCGTAACCCTTAAATTTGCCCACCAAGAAGCCTCGGCTTTTGACGAGCCCTTGGCTGATAGGAGCCGAATGAACTCCTGGAGAAGCGGTTTCGGGCTTAGGGCTTAGGAATTCGGGCTTAGGGTCTAGGGTTTAGGATTTACGGCTTAGAATTTAGGGTTTAGGGTTTAAGCACAGGTAAAGGGGGCTTTTGGTTATAGGCTTTAGAGCTTTTGGTTTCGGGTTTAGTGCGTAGGACTTTGGGCTTTGGGTTCAACCGGGCTTTGATGTGTCCGGCAAACGGGCACTTTCGGGCAAGGCGTCACGCAAGCTGGGCTCGTAGAGCTTATCCGAGGGGTTCTGCATCGCTCGGAGAATGCCATTCACGAGGGCCTGCTCTAGGGCATCGCGATGCTCCTCGGCGTGGCAAAGCCCCCAACAAGGCTTCCGGGCATGTCAAGTCGATGAGGCGGCTGCCTTCGTAACTGTGAAACAGTTCTTCGTAGAACTCGGGTGGCAGCGAGTGCCACGAGAATGGCACGAGGTCGGAGGCTTTCGCGCCCGGGTCCACCTCGGGTCCTGGGTCACCCTCAACGGACCCGCCCACAAGCACCATAGCAATGAAGGTACCAGGTACCCTTGTCCTTGTGCCGGAATCTCCAAAGCCTCTCGGGGTTCAGTCTTTCGAACGAGCCTGGGGTTTGGGGTGTAGGGTTTAGGGTGTAGGATTTAGGGTGTAGGGGATGGGGTTTCGGGTGTAGGGATTACGGTTTAGGGTGCAAGGGTTAGGGGTTACGGTTTGGGGTGAAACCCTCAACCCCAAAGCCTAAACATCGAAATCTGGAGAAACAACGAAAACGCCTGATTCTTAAATGACACCTTGTACGGCTGTAGCCGCCCAACACCCCCAACAAATGAAGAAACCCTCAAGAGCCCCGCTACAGATCCTTACAAAAAGTCCGGGCAATGATCAACCCCCGCTTGAAGGTTCAGGGTACTTATGGACCAATAACGTCTGTGCTTGCAACCAAGTTGTGAAATAGCCGCCTCTGGTTCATGGACTTACAACTGGGATGTACGCGCCGCTTATTTTAGTTCAAGTTCTGTCAACAACATCCGGATCCCGCATCGCGCCTCCTCCGAGACTTTTCCATCGCAGTTTGCGTCCGTCCTCCGCCAAATGCCGCCGACCTCCAATCCAATGGTCTAATATGGGGAACCTTAATAATTAGAATAAGGTTTAGGGGAGCCCCATTCTACTAGCCCGGAAAATGATATAGGTAATTATTTAGGCCCCTACACTAGGGTCTGTTGTCAGGTCAGGCTCTTTGGGTCAACGGTTCCCCCTAACTACCCTCCACTACAGCCCGAAACCCTACATCCCAAGCCGCTCTATAACCTCCATACAGAAGAGCTTCACTTATTCAAACCCTTATAAGATTCCTTTCCTGAGATTCTGCCTAGAAGCTTCCCAGAAGTTCGAACACCACGCTGAGGTGAAGGGCAGATATGGGGGGGTTAACGTGTCGGGTTCAGGGTCTATCTGGGGTTTTGGGTTCAGGGTTGAGGGTTTCAGGGTGCATGGGTAGCTCTCATATAGGATCCTCTGTTGAGGTCCTTCTTGTACGGGTGCCGTACTACTTTGGGGACCTAGAAAGGGAACCTACTTTACAGAACTGCCCGCATACCATAGGGGGCTCCATGATTAAAACAGGGTTCCTCCGGGGGTTCCTTGTAAACGGGGTCACTAGGGGGTGGTGTAGCGGTTACCATCAGGGTTGCTATCGAGGGTTCTTAAAAATCTTATGAAGGGTTCGGGGGTACACTACTGCGAGTATAAGGTAGCTAGGAGGGCATCATATCTAGTAACCTTCCGGCTATTCTGTTAGACCACATAGTCGGCCTCCTGAGAGGGTTCCTAATCGAATCTAAGGCTTCTTGGCGTTTCTCTTGCGCCGTTTCGGATCCTCTATGTAGGGCAGGAAGAAAAAGAAACACGGAGACAGAGGGAGAGAGAGAGAGAGAACGAGAGAGACAGAGACAGCTGCTTCGGGTCAAGGGTAGGAAGAGTTATAAAATGGACAGACCGATAGTAATGGGTAGATTGCTAGATAGATGGATGGATTGAGCATCCTTCGATCTATCTGGCGATCCACCCATTGCTATCGGTCTGTTCATGTTTTACCGCTTCCTAAACCCTAAACCCTTTAAACCCTACTCTCGTTGATCTAACAGTGGTTGAGCTGGTCTGGGAGCCCCTGCTGGAGCCCCTAGGCAACTATACTTGGGTGTTCTCTAAAATTTCTAGGGCACCTGTTTAGGCCACCAAAACATTACTGAACTTCATTAAAAGGATCCTAACAAGACGACGACGACGACGACCACTACTAGTACGAGTGCTTCTAAGACCACGATCTCAACTAGACTTCAAGACAGGCCTAGATTCGGGGGTTTTAGGGTTTACTTGGTTTTGCGGATAAGGGTTTAGGGAATGTTGAGGCCATGTCGACTGGAGGTTGACATCAAAACCACCTGGGAGACGCCGACTCCAACAAAACAACACGATTGAACTTGAAAGCTTCGCATGGGAGGAATCGGCGCATTTAGGGATGAGGGCTCTTTACGGAAATGGGGTGACGTCCAGTCGGTTGACCACATACTTAAACCCCTACAGCTCTATAGAACTCGCTTAACACTATATAGACCTCATTCTAGGTGCCCTATCAAACAAGGTTATTCCCTAAACCCTAACCCCTGAACCCTAAATCCTAACCTTACTTACTGAGTCCCCTGATCCTTCGAGCTGCCTGTTGGGTGTCCAAGCTCGGCATCGCCTCACGAAGGGTTTAGGGTTTGGGGTCTAGGGGTTTGGGTTTAGGGTTTCGGAGTTAGGAGTTAGGGGTTAGGGGTTTGGGTTTAGGGTTTAGGGTTAAGGGTTTGGGGCGCTGAGGGTCCAAGCATCCAACTCCCAGGGGTCTTAGGGTCTTACGTAGGGTCTTAGGTTTAGGCGTTTAGGGGTTTAGGGGTTTAGGGTTTCATTAGCGGTTTAGGGGTTTGGGGTTTATGGAGGGGTTAGGGGTTTAGGGGCTAAGGGTTTTTTGTTATTGTGAAACGTTTTGGAACAAAAAATGCTCGTTATTAATACTGGTATAATACTTAAATACCACCCCCCAAAAAAACGTTCGAGGTTGCCTGCTGTACTCATAAGGATTTAGTGCTTGGGGTGGTCCCTAAGCCCTAACCTGACCCTGGGCTTCAAGCCCACATGCTTGGAGGTTCATGGGCAGTTATAAGTGGAGTTGTAAGTCCCCTAATACAGGTTGTAACTATAGTTATCCTACTTATAACTACCCGTGAACCTCCAAGCAAGATTGAAACCTAAACCCGAGACTTTGGGCTGTAACCTTAAACTCGAAACACCAAGCTTTAAGCCCTAAGCTCTAAGCCCTCAACCCCAAGCTTCAAACCCTAGAAACCCTAAATTCTAGGGTTTAGGCACGCAGAACCCTAAACCAAAATGGAATAGTACTCCAGAACCCAGGCCTTCTTCAGCCACAGCTGGAACTGTACGGGCGTGAGCGCTCCCAGCCCCTGGGCCCGGCGCGAGCAGGGCCCCTTTTTTCAAAAAGGGGTCCCGTATTTTTCGGGTCAGGGTTAAGGGTTTAAGGTGCCGTAGCATATTTTTCAAGAAGGGGTCCCGGGATTTTGGGTCTAGAGTTTAGGGTTTAGGGTGCCGTAGTATGTTGGGTCTAGAGTTTAGGGTTTAGTGTGCCGCAGTATTTTGGGTCTAGGGTTAAGGGTTTAAGTCTCCGCGGTATTTTAGGGTTCAGGGTTTAGGGTTAAGGGTGCCGTAGTATTTTGGGTCTAGCGTTTAGGGTTTAGGGTGCTGCAATATTTTAGGGTTAAACTTAGGGTGTTGGGTGCCGTAGCACTTTGGGTTTAGGGTTTAGGCTTTAGGACTTTGGGGGGGGGACCTAAAGAAGGGACCCTAATTCAAAGAATTACCCTCTAGTGGGCCTGTTTAAGGACTTAGCCAATAAAGTTATAATTGGGGTTATAAGTCCCCTAAGAGGGGCTATCCTAATTATAACCGTGCTAAACCCTAAACCCTAAACCCTAAACCCTAAACCCTTTTACTAAGTGCCTTCGGCCTTCAAGTACACTCAAAGCGCGTTTAAAGTTGACGAGGCATCGGTTTCAACAACTCCCCGAACAAGAATTACAGCTAGGGATCTATGTTAAAGATAAGAAGGGCATCAGAAATCATCCCAAATCTAGTTTATGGTCTTGTGGCATTACGGATGGGCTTTTTGGGGGAGAGGTCTTTGGAATAAGGATCCTGCTATTTCGGGTAGTCGCTGTAGCTGGGCTTAGAGTTCTATGTGCTAGGCATCCAACAGCCGCCAAGCTTACTTGTTGTAGTTGTGGCTACTTATTCAAGCAATAAGAGGATCTAAACATCTCCCATTTCGGTACCTAGGCAAACAAGGATCCCGGCCTAGAAGCTACCACCAAAAAAGCTAGACCGCCAGGGAGTAGCTTCGGAATGGCATCAACATCTTGACGTCAACATCATCTTGCTCTTGGCAGGAATTCCCTGCCATTGCCTGGGCGAAGCTGGCATGCTACCAAATTACCACTGCTTAGCTCTCATCCCAAACAATCATGTGAGCAGCGCAGCATGAGCATTAGGACTGGTCAACTTGCCGATTGTTTGGCATTTGGGGCATACAGAGGGGCATCAATCTTCTCTGATTCCTCCTTTGCTGGTTGATTCCTCCTTTGCTGGTTTGGGAGTATGCTACCGGACACCGGGTACCCAGAAGGCACAACTAAACTTAAGAAAGTACGTAATATTCACAGACTCCTGACACCAGAAAAGGTCCCTCTTTTTAAAACTTTCAGACGAGTACGAGGTTTTCTGCGATTCGTATCATGTGGGGGCCTTTATAATCCTCGTTATACATATAGTATAGTATAACCCCCCAAACCCTATTCCAATTGTTAAGGCCCCGATTTTGCCGAATCCGAAGCCGCCACATGCCCCGCCTGGGGATCGAGGGTGGCAAACAGAGCTTTCGGGACCTTCGCCGAGCTGAAGAAGAGGCTCGGAGAGTGAGTCAGGCTATGACTGGGGCAGTGATATGGTTTAGGGTTTAGGGTT